ATAAAAATTTCTCATAATTTGTGCAAAAGGCTGTATCAGACAAGTTTTTGGCAATCATGAATATTGAACACAGGTTTTAATATTGTCCCATAAAACACCGTAACACGCATGACTGGCTATGTTTAGACTTGATTGTATTAAACATACTGTGCAAATATGAAATGTTATTCACAACATAATTTTCAAAAACATAAGATGCACAGAGAGGAATGGTTCAAGAGTGATTAGATGTCAATTGGTGTTTATTTCATATACCATCCTAAGCTACCSTTTGCTGTATTGTATGCATAATATTTTTAACTAAACTTTTAACTAGAAACTTTTTACTAACTATGATAATGTTACAAGACTTGCTCTTATCCACATTATAATCATTTAAAATCATTAAGAAAACAGGAAAAAAGGAAATCTAGAAAGTGATGCATGGTGAAGATCCTTGGTTACCTAAAGTCAGACAGTGAAGGTGCATATTAACATAGCAACCACACAGCTCACAAAATATTTGAATCTACTTTCCACCAATTTCACACAAAATAAATATATTTTTTACAGATGTCCTGTGATGTTCGACTGATTTTATTGCAAATAAAATCCATAGAATCATGCAAAAATAAAAAAATACAAAAAACAGAGTTACAAGATTATGTAGGTGAATATGTACAGCTGTGATTTATAGCTCRGGTAATTTACATAATTTARGATGTGGACCTGAACTCTACAGTGCCATATGCTGCAATATTTTACCTTATTTTTCTTGTAGATATTATAGAATGGCTAAATTTTAGCCAAACAAAAGAAATGCAAATTTAGCTTTTTGAGCAAAGTCAATGAATAAACCGAGAAAAATACACTCGAATCTAATTATTTATATTGGACATGCGTGTACAGTACATGCCATGAGCAATTTTCCAAATCAGAAACATTATATATCGACATTAATGACTGTCGTGGTGAAAACATTTGACTGTGTTGTTCACACAAACGATTTAATATGTCATCAAAGAAAAGAATCTAAAATATTACGCTGTAAAATCAACCCATAACTAAACTTAAAATAATTGTACAATATACAAAAACAAGTCGATACGTGTGATCTTTAATAAGCTTATGAAAGATTCCTAAAATTAGGAAGGCCACAGCATGTTTATACGAGGRTTTAGCTTATTAAAACTACAATATGAGAAAAATCATCGACATTGTATACAAATAACTTGTACTGTATTTGGTTTTGAATTGACGACATGAAAATTTTTGCAGTTCACTTCAAAACTTACTCGTTTCTTCCATTTCGTTGAGCTGCGTTGGCGTTAGCTTCAAGGAATGTATATGTTCTCTCAAAACCTCAGTCCAAGAATGCAACGAGTCCATTATAGTCCACGGCTTTGACGAGTCTACGACCAGTACTATCAAACTGTCGTTGGCATTTTGAGGAGTCAATGCATAGTTTAGTAGTGTCTTATTTCGAGCATCTCCGTCAAGAATCCAAACATTTAGACGCGTATAATCTAAAGGAATTAAGACATCGTACAAAGGCTTCAGTGTTGTAGAAAAATATATGAAAATCGCACGAGAAAAAGACACATTTCAACTGCATTTCAAAGGAAACTCCCAATATTTACCATCGAGTTCTTCGTCATGTACGTCCAGATAAGTGTATTCTAAGCCATGACCTTTACTGATGTCGTCTTCTTTTCCACGTAATTTTGATATAAGAGTTGACTTGCCTGATTCATCGTTCCCTAAGACAAGACATCTTACAATCAAGACGTTATATAAATATGAACTGCGATAATTCTCTAACTACACACCTAAGAGTAAAATCGATTTGTGCGCTCGCAGCTTTCGACTCGCTGAGCTTTGAACGTCGCTTAGAATTGATGACCTAAAASCAAGCAATGTTAGTTAATACACCAAATGATTGACTCAAGAAGCAGCTACAACAAGCCAATACAAAAAGCCGGTRATACCAGAGATCTTGTTCTCCATTTTCTTGCTGCTCAACGTCCGCCATTTYGTTGATGAATCACGAGTTCCCGGATGTATAGGAGCGATAGTGTCTAGCGCCCATGCCCTCCCAACTATTACAGYAACTACACGGGAAATACAGCCCTTTAAGGGGGGATTATAATCAAAATTTGGTCGATTTTGAGTCTCTGATTTTGGCTTAAATTGTTTTATATATGGTTATCCACGTAAAAATGTCACTTATCTCAATATATATTAACTTTCTGCATGTRGAACTTAATATCCATATAGGGTTCTAAAATCCTAACCACTATTAAATTCTAGACCATATTACACGATCGGAAAGTGAATATTACCATGAATAATCACGTCACGCAATTGGAACAATGGAAATGATGTAAAGCTTGTTTACACCGAAAATATAAAATTCAAAAAATAAACAATTTGAATTAATATTACTCAAGATTCTACACTATGGTGGCCTGTGAGTGCCATTTATTTTGACTAATATGAGAAATATGCCGATTTTTTTAAATTTTTCTTTATGTTTTATCGTTATATTTTTTAATCCTTAATTAGACTCGTACATTTGATGTAGAATAGGCTAGTAGTTTTTGCTTGTACGTTTATTAGTTCATAAAAAGGCGGTCGAAATGGTCCATTGGCAAAGAATGATTCTGCGACAATGAGCTTCTTGCCACCAAACACGAAAACAAAGAATCAATCTCGGCAAAAAAAAAACGATCGAGAACACCAGATCCAGCAATGTTAAAAGTGGGAAGGGGGAGGGGCGACGACAAACGTGCCGGAGTTAGTTTTTGCGAGAAATAAAGAAAAAAAACTTTTTGTTCACCAAAATGGGAGGGTCGCGGCTAGTTATTCAGTAAAAAGTTACTAGTCTATATATGTTATTTAGTGGCTCGGAGGTCCGTATAGGAAAACACTGCCCGAGGTCTTGACAGTACGAAACGAGCGCAGCGAGGTCCGTACACATAAAAGACCGAGGGCAGTGTTTTCCTATACGGACCGACCTATAGCCGATAAATAACATTTTTATTTCTTTAATTTGTATTTWATGCAACTTTGCTCGCAGGCTAGCTGCAGGATACCGTTGGACCGGGCAGATCGTGAAAAACCGGACCGCGCGCTAGCCAATTACAGCTCGCGAATGACTAGGATACCGGACCGAAAAAAAAGTAAATGTATTTATGACCATTTTTGAATTGTTAGATTTATCAATCTTWGCTCCAAAGATGGACGACGGTGTAGGAGGTCTAATCAAWTCATGTTTCCGACTCAGTATTGAATCAAGAAAAAGCTATTATTTTCGTGTCTGGGAACATTAGGTTGTCATACTTTACTTTCTTTTGATTCAGTCGATTTTGGTTTTATAGAACTGATTCCTCTATGCACATGAATCCGTCTTCTCCAACATATTATGAACTTGTTGGAACTCTCTGCCAATCGATGTTATTCAAGCCAAACCTGTTGTCTCGTTTAGAAATGGCTCTTGTTATGATTAATCGTAACTCGAGGGAGAGCAAGTATTGGAAAATAAATAAATAATTAATATTATAATGMGATGATATCTGACATCTCACCGGGGAGGAATCAATAACCTCTGTTTGACAGTTATCCGATCTATGCCGACATTAAAACAAATGTTTGTTTTCCGCATAACATTTTATGGCCATTTCGCGTTGGACGATTTTTATGTCAGACTCGTTCTCGGATCTCCCGTATTGAAAAATAGCCGTCGTATTGAACTCAATATTGCTTGTTTTGACATATTTATATAGGACATGTATATGCGGTAAAACTAACAAGCTAAGAACTTTGAATAAGAGTCGTAAAATTTAGTATAGAAAATATGAGAGTAAAAAAGTAGGGATGATGGCTATTCGTTTATGGCATATATATATATATAGCCACTGGGAAAAACTAACCAACCTCTGACCATTCGATTTTGTTCGATCCATACAGTTGACGAGTAAATATAATAGTGGATAGTCTAAAAGACAAAAGTCTACTTGCAAAACTAGCTAAGTTTAATAACAAAACATAAAAAGTGTAACTAAAACTTCTATTTCTTATTGTTCACATCAGAGTCCTTTTAATAGATCTTTCGCCTCTTTCAGGAACTGCAAAAAACAAAATTGAATTTAAAACAGGCCTCTGTTGTATGAATGTCATTTATACGATAATATTGACGTCGATCTTTCTCTATTGTATTGCTAGTCTTTTTCGCAGCCCAGCTTAGCCCAACAAAACGCGTTAGGCAATCATCTGCATGCTAAAAATCMCCAAAATCAAAAATCCCAAACGCRCTTAGTCTGATTTTCAGACGGGCCTGGTTCCGAGGCTTGGACGTATACTGCAATCATGTTGCAAACGAGCCGTGCGGTTACACAAACTTGTTGCTTATTCATACCTCTTCATCTTCAGGCCGTTTAGGTTCAAAATCTACAGCCTTTTGTAAATACTCCTTKGCTTTTCCGTAATCTTTAAGTCGTAAGCAGGTTTTTCCGTACATCATAGAGTTTCTCAACGATCCATTGGGCTTAACTGAAAGGTTCAAATTGAACAAAAAACAAGGTTAAACTGGCCATAAGCGCATGCGTTTTGTGTGTTTTSTTCGGCGAGTAGAAACATTTAATGAGGAAGGGAGATCAGTGTAGAGGAGGACAGTCTTGTTCTTGTACAGATTTATATGAAAAAAAAATTAAGAAAACAATTGTTGTACGTACGTTCGTCAGCTTGCTTAAAGAAGTGAAAAGCCTGCAAGCAAGATTTCATAATTAACATGTGTACTTATATATAGACCTCTGAAGCTTTAATTTTATGTCATATACCGTGTACGCAATGGATTGTAGGATATGTTTGTAGTAGATCATGGTGAATAGCCGATTTGTGAATTTCGCTTCAGCATACAAACACAAMAGAATCAAGACGAGGMGCCGAACATAAAGCTCAGTCAATTGTGAARAACTAYTGTCTTTTCACTAATGACTGAGCTTTATGTACGGCGCCTCGTCTTGATTYCTTTGTGTGTGACTRCTGAGGCAAAATTCGCAAGTCGACTATTTCTTTTTCTTTCTCCAGAAACTGATCCCACAATGCATTGCAAATCATGTTGATGACGTAAAAGATTGACATTATAAATAYTAAATTGTAAAATTTGGTTTCGATATAAGAGATGTGTAATTTTCTATTTATGATAGTAAGTTGATAAAGATTGACTCAAAATACGTCTTTATTACCTCATCGTACGTTGCATTTGGTGGATTGGAAAGCACAGCGTTCACAATCTTTTTCAAGAGCCATGGCATATCAGCTACTCGAAAATGCCTTTTTGATAAATTGAAACAAAAGGAATTAGCAAGAAAAGTATGYTCCACTGCAAAAGTCGCGTAACTGTTCAGCCCCATCGTAAGAAAATACAGCTCCTTACCAGACTCCCAGCAAGTATTGAGCGTAAGGGTCTTGAGGGTCGATCTCAGCAGCTTTCTTTAAAACATTACAAAGTTAGAACAAAGGAGTTCCCTTGTTTATTTCTCTCTTTTTAATTTCAAATTAGTAGTGAGAAGTTCAGCTTTCAAAAATAACCGCATTCCTGCACAGACGCATGCGTGAAAAAGATTTCTTACGTACACGAGTACTTCAAAACAAAAAATCGCTCGTGTAGTTGATGAACGAGTAAGTTTATTTTAATATTCAGGCTGACAAATTCCTTGCCACATTTTCGTTGTTGCCAAYCTACACAAGTAACGTCTTTAAGGGAACATTTTAAAAATAAACTGATATATTGTACATTGTAAATCACGTCTAAGATTGATGCTAAGATTCACTGTAAAGATCATTCATCATAACAATAGAGACTGTTACTAACCTGGAAATGTTTCTTCACAATATGAATATTTTTGGCTTTATCAGACTGACCTCCAGGGCCCTCCATCAAACCAATACTATAGAACTGACGAACATGAAAAAAAACAAACAAATAAATAAGTAGTGAGGTATACTTTCAACAAAGAATATCAGAAGAGTCTYACCTTGTTACATCCAGCACTCTCGGGATTCAACTCGAGGCCTTTTTCTCCCAATTCTTTAATTTTAACTGAATAACTCTTCCTTTTAGCCAAGTCAGGGTGTGTTTTAATGAGGATGGCTGCAAATCGTGCAAGTCTCCAAATTAAGTCAGCATCCTTGGTATCTTGATGTTTGTCAATAAAGTCCTCCATTTCCTGGACGGTTGGTATCTTATCGTAAAGACCATCAGCCTCTTCTACACTCATGATTGGATGGTATCTAGCTATAGGGATACGAATTAGAATACATGTACTCATGTCTATTCATTTGTTTTCAAGGCGCTTTTGCGAAGTTTTCAGCAGATGTTTCGAAGGGTGTGATTGAATTGGGCCCTGAATTCTGCATTACCATAACAATCTTCTGAAACCGCAACTACGCGAAGCACACTGCAAAAAATCGAATTATAACTTGCAAGACCGTAATCAATGCAGGTAATTTCAAAACGTATTTCCAGCGCACGTGAATTGAAAAATGCGAGAAAGGTGGCGTGGAGGAGTCATATACAATTTTCAARTTGCTTCAAAAGCGTTGCGAAAAGTAGACCTGTGTTCTACTTCGTCCAACGTTACATACATGAAAGACATGAAACAATGTCACAAGACGTCGCGCTGTGCAATTTCTGATCAACTTGTGTGGCCTTTTTTGCGTTGCGATTTATGCACTAGTCAATGGAAACCCCCGCCCCCCGAACCCCGGGACTAGCGGGGCACTGAACGGGGCAGTGACGCGTTTTTAACGTGCTTTTACAACAAGATTGGCACCGGGGGGTAGGGATTTTAACGAATTGTTTTCGCAGCGGGGCAGCGAACGGGGATTTTAACGCTCGTTTGAATATATAAGAGCCTGGAAACTAGTGGTCGGCCATTTTGAAAAATACCCAGAAAGCATTGGTATTCCAACCACAGGCAGCCCATCCCATGTGTAAATCATAATTATTCTTTCGCTACAATGTCTATGGGGAAACGAAAGGTGAGTCAAAAAGCGTAGTATGGTTATGTCCTAAATGCAAATAAAAAAACAAAAACTGTTTTTTGTCTATTTTTTCTTGCATTAAAAATAATAATGATGTCGCTGCAATAATGATGATTTACRAGGGARCTGRGAGAGTTACGCGCGGGGTCACAGTAGCGGGGCTATAGWAGCGGGGGTTTTAACAGTAAATGTGCCCCCGACTACCAGGGGAAATGTCTTATTTTAACACCACTCAAACGTTAAAATCCCCGCTATTCCCCGGGGTTCGGGGGGCGGGGGTGTCAATTGACTAATGCATTAGTCTTGTCCCATTTATTCTCCTGTTCAGCTATTCTCTTTTTTCACTTTAATCTATATGTAGTGCTTAAAAAATGAGCAGGAGTAGTAATTTATCGGGAGAGTGATATTTTTAGAAAAAAATTAATATGCATAATCACTGTTTTCGCATTTTTTAGCTTTTTTAGAAGTTTAAAAACTTCTACTGAGCATGTGCATTTGCCACAGTTGAAAGAATTTTGATCACACACGTAGGAACGGCTAGTCTATGCTATACTGCATGTCTGCACAYTTATTCAAACTGATTTAACCTCTTCAAGTCATAACTTTAGAGTGCTGGTGATTTTTGCACAGTCCCCGGCGGCCCTTATGACATTCCGCGGTAGATCCTCATATCTACATAGCAACACTTGTGTAGTCACTGTCAACAATTGTGAACCGTTGCAGTATTATGTATTTTAAGTTGCGATTTTGTCTTGTGATAACTATGTAGGTCAAGTCCATCGTGTAAATCGAGCTTAACCTTTGAACTGCCTGAGCCGCGGAATCGTTGATACCTTCAACCGTCAAAAACGTTAATAACCGTCAAAACCGTCGACAATATTTTTTTCTCAACATGAGAATTCATCTGTAATCCTCTCCCCCACCCCTAATTGATCTCCCCCCCTCCCACCCCCACTAAATTAGTGGTCACACTTCTCCCCTCCCCCCCACTAAATTATAGTGGTCATACTCCTTGCGTGACGCCGTCTCTTTGTGTCATGTTTACAATAGATGACGTCGCCATCCTCAAAGAAGATCAGTGAACCATTAAGAAAATTTGAAAAAATTAGTGCTGGAACTCATTGCATCTCGTAAATATTATTTAGTAGTTAAACATTGGCAATCCTGAGAAGTAACCTTAATCTTTACAATACTGTTTTGGATATGGTAATAATCCCAGTAATCATGATGGGCATCCCCTGCAATCAACCTATTGTGATTGGATTCTAAATGTTATGCCACAATGAGATCGCATAATATTTACATAAGTAGAGCTGAATAAAACTCAATGACTCTCAATGGCTCGTGAAATATGTCTGTATATATAATCTTAATTGTTTCGTAACGGGACCTAAACATCATGATGTCGCTCGCTACAATCACTTCAATTCAGTTTTCGAGTTACGTGATTTAGTATGATCTTTAAAATACAAGTATAGTTGATCAATTATTATGAAGTAATTGATTAATTTTACGTGCATTACGTTGACTTTATCAGGAATCCCTTATCATAGCTAGAATCTATTGAATCAGATATATCAAAGCACATATATATATAAAGCATTTCTACTAAAATGTACTTACCCTTGCCTACGTAAACAGCTAATCCACGGGGACCGGATTACTGTAACCGATCCCTTTACATTGAGCCTGCATGCAATATATAGCGGTTTCATTCTCTTAGGCAAAGAACTACCAAACACAAAGAAAGTACGAGAAAATGTTGTACGTACAATAGCGCTGACAATTTACCCTAGTTGAGACTAACCCTGTATTCCCAGAAGAGCCATACCTTAACAGCGTTAGTCTCAACTCGGGGAAAATGCAAATTTTTAAGTCTATTGTAAAAACGAAATTTTTTCGTGCTCCCTTTTGTGTTTGTTCAGGTCTTTGCACAAGAGAATCTGTAGTCAAATAAAGCAGCGGTTTTGCGCTATCAATTCGAAACTGGAGTATTAGTTTCAAAAACAGCTAGTCCGATTTTTCACGCTCCAAGAGCGTCTTACTTCGTTTTGCACAAATTAGCTGTAAATATCATCAATCTCTGTATCTCTTCGTTTATATAAACAACAAAACACGAAAATCCGATTCAACTCGAATGAGTTCACGGGGCACGTCTTAATCGGATTAGGTGAGTAATTTGATTATTCATTGAAAAGGCAATGACGTCATGTGGATGAATAAAAAATAAGATGAATAAAAAATGGTCCCATGTGGATTTATCATTGTGTTCTGGTTCATTATCTGACAATTTGTCTCTAAACAGCCGCAATTTGTTAGTATTTAGTTTGATTTTATTTCACGATTTTCCTGCGTTTGCTCTATTTGTATATTTGCTCTATCAAATTACGGTACAATTAAATTGAATATTTATAAATATATAAGAACATATAATTAATTTTCTTAAATTGATAATTATTCACTTGAAGTCGTGTTGTCAAGGTAAACAAAAACCTTCTAAGCTAGGAAAAGGATTGGCTTTTAACGATCGCGAAAACTGTTTTCCATATTCTTAAAGAACTTATATTCAAGTGCATTTCAAACGTTGTTTTTAAGAWAAGAAAAMTAAAAGAACCAAAGTCAACTTTATACTCAAGTCCATTTCGAAATCTGTTGTCAGTCAACATACTGCAATGTAACTACGGCACGTGCATGTAAACACTTGTTAAGGATTCGCGCGAGAGCAGTAGTTTGTTTTACAGTGACTCGATACAGACAGATATCTATAAGGAATAGTATGTTTATAGAATGCTATAAAGAAATGAGTGGATTAATAAACATAGTAATCCTATATGTCCTACAATCAGGCTCGATCCGTTAACGTTTCCTCGAACGAGTCCGTCGTCTTGACAACAGTCGGTTAACAGCTCCCGTTGTGCTGAACTGCATAGATGTTGATGTTGATAGGCACTATTTAACTTGAGTCTCAAGAACTTGACTCTTACTTTATTAATACCATATCGTTTATATTTCAGAATGTAGGATGTTAGAGCAAGCCTCTGCATCGTAGTGCACTGTATTGATAAGAGGGTCCCGAAGGGGGGGGTCCAATCCCATTCCCAGCCTACCTTTTTCATTAAAATCCCATTCCCAGTCATACATTTTTCAAAAATCCCATTGCAGGTTTTCGAAATCCCATTTTAATAATTTAAGAAAAAATACCTTTACATTTGAAGGTAATCTGACATTCTTTTTGTCAGTCGTCTAACTCGACCAAGTCTTGTCGGTTCCAAAAGATTCATTGCAGTGGTAGTAACAGAGTCGACAGATTCATCCTCAACTTCATCATCACTGTCTGATTCACTATCGCTATAACTGTCTTCTTGTTCATATTCTTCACTTTGTTGGTTTTCAAGCTGCAAGTTCTCGCTAGAATCATGACCATCAGCCTCTTCTTGGTCTTCCTGAACTTCTGTTTGAGAGCTGCAGAGGAGTTTTAAATCTAAAGGATTCAAAACTGTTTCTGTTTCATAGAGATTTAAAGGTAGTGTGCCACTTCTGTCCTTTGTGTTGTCCTGCCTGACATTCCTTTGCCTAACACATTTGCCATGTCTTTTAGCCCATGCTCTCATTTTGGCTTCTTCATTTCTGCTCAACACTTGGGAGGGAGGCCTGGGGATGTTTACATGTGGTGATGAAAAAGAACTTGTTGAAGGACGCTTATAATATGAATCACGATGTGTATAATAAGTTGCCGCCCATTTAGATACACGCTTAACAGCTTCTGCAACTGAGGAACCAAATATTAGGGCATACTCGTATAGCGTAAAGGTGTCTCGCTTGAAATGGGTTACTGCATGTTGATTTTCAACATGAAGAGTTAAAAGTGTTTCCATACTAAAGTTTAATTTAAAGCCTGGATATGCTGATAGTTCCTTAATGTTAATCTCCAAGCTTTGCAGCGACTTCTTAAGAAGCTCTAGAGTCTTCAAGCAATTTGAAGAAACAGTACCCTCTGGGCCATTGGTGTATGATTCTTTCTTTAAAGATTGTAGCTCCTTTGATTTATCTGAACAGTGTTGTACATAAGTA